ATGGTATTAAGTTTTTGTCTTTTTTTCATTTGCCAAGCCAACAATTTACCACACTTATTTGCCGATTCAAATGTCTTTTGTCTCATCTGTTTAATCTTCCATTCTATTTCCTGATTCATCATTTTCATGTATTGTACTTGATATAACTTTATCTCTTTCAAAATCTCCTGGGACTTTGGTTTCACCCTCAATTTCTTCTCCCCTTCCTTTATTTTTTCCAAGATTTTGTCTTTTTTCTCATTTTGCATTCTCTTCTTAATTGCATTCTGTTGTATCAAAAATCCTCTCATGACAGCTTTACTTGCGTCCCAGATTACTCTTTTTTCCACAGTAGTGCTCATATTTATCTCAAAATAGTCTCTCAAAGTTTTTTGGGCCTTCTTAATAAATTCTTCATTCCTAAACAAAGTATCATTCATCCTCCATCTAAAGGAACCAATTGGCATCAATTTCATTTCCATCTTCACAGCATTATGATCGGAGCAGGTCTTGGGGCAAATTTCAGCTTTACTAGTCTTCGGAGCCAGTCCTCTGGTTACCCAAATTTGGTCAATTCTTGTCCATGTCATTTTAGCCTCGGAGAAGAAAGTTCCCTCTCTTCCCAGAGGGTTCTTTGTTCTCCAGATATCAACTAAGTCCATATTTTCAGTTATATCAAAGAAAGTTTTTGGTAGTCTTCCATCCTTAGTTACTATCTGTCTTTGTGCCTTGTCCATATTTGTAGACACAATGCCATTCATATCTCCCATCAAAATCATATTGTAATCCATATAGTCCATCAGAGTCTCATGTAAGTTCTTAAAAAATTCCGATTTTCCTTCATTTGGTGCGTAAATACCTATTATCAAAAAATTTTCTCCTTGCGTTTGAATTTCAATTGCTACAAATCTTCCTTGATCATCTTTGAATATAAATTTTGGTGATAAACTCTCCTTTGCATAGAGGACCACTCCTCTTTTTTTTACTTTATCCGATGAGATAAATTCTTGGCCTAATCTTTTATTATTCAATAACGTCCTGTGTAACCTTGTCACATGTGTTTCTTGTAGACAAATCAAGTCCAAATGCTCTTTTTTCAATAAATGAAATACTCTCTGCCTTTTTTCAGGGCTGTTCAGTCCATTCACATTCCAACTCAAGACCTGCAACACCATCATGTGGTTACTTTGGTGCCCCCCCCAACTGCCCCCTAAGCTTGCTCCTCTTCTGTTGGTGGTAGTGTTGGCACATTCGCTGGGGGGTCCAATCCAAAAGATAATGTCGTTATGTCCAATGTTTCCCTGTTTGGTGATCTTCTCTCCAATGCTCTTTGCTCTGATCCTCTATCTGGTGATCTTCTGTCCAATGCTGTTGGCTCTTTTCCAATTTCCTTCTGTCGGTCTTCTTCGTATTTAAACAGAAACTTTATTTTATCTTCTACTGATCTTATTTTTATTTTCCTTCCTTTGAAACTGAAGGATAGGCCTTGAGGAAATTCCCACCTAAAAATGATTTTGTTCCTTCTCAACAGGGCAACCAAATCTCCAAAGTTGGACCTAAGGTCCAGAAGATGTTTTGGGATATCTTTGAAAATTTCCACTCTTGATTGATGTATTACCAAAGTCTTCTCGTAATGCCAGCCCAAAATTTTATCTCTCTCTTCTTTAGATCGGAGGGTAATCAAACAATCTCTTATTCTGTTCTTCTCCTTCTTCCCTCCTCTTCCCAGTCTAAAGGCCCTCACAATTCTAAATTCCTCTTTTTCCAAATCCAAGTCCCAATGATCTGCAAATTCCTCCGTAAGATAGTCTATCAGAGAATCTTTTTCCAGTTCAGGTACAGCTCTAATCCTCAGGTTTGTCTGTTTTTCCTTAAGCTCAATCATAGAAAGCGCCAACCTATGGTCCTCAAGTTGTTTCTGAAGGTCTGGGACTCTCTCTGTTTCCAGCTGGGTTACCTTTGCTTCCACAGCAACAACCTTTTCCTTAACTTCCTCTGCGATCTGTCAAGTTGAATTAGACTCCTGGATCAATTTCTCAATAGCTTCTGTATTTGAATTAACTTTTTGTTCCAAACTATTTATACTTTGTGTATTCTGATTTATACTTTGTGTATTCTGATCCAATTTTTTGTTCATTTGTTCCAGTGATTCATTTATTTTGCTCAAGGCAAGTGCCAGGGCCTCTTCTGAAATCATTCCTTTTGGTTTAGTTAATACGGCCACAGAAGAAGCAGGAGGGCCGGATGTAGAAGCTCTTCGCCAAATCTTCCCAGACCTTGTTGTTTTGTCTTGGATTGGCGGATCTATTTTTCTTTTCCATCTGCCATAACACTTAAGCCTTTCAAGGTCAATTTCACAGTCCCAGAGTCTTATCTTTGGAGTTGGAAAATTCCAAACCTTGTAGCAATTTCAAAGTCCTCCTCTAGAGGGAAATAGTTACTATTTATATTATGTTAGTCCAAAATGTCACTTTTCCCCCAGACCACAGTTGCACCAGTATATTTAGTATCAAATCTCAGCTATTATTACTCAGTTTCTTTTACTCCTTTTAGTCCCTTTTGAGTCAGAAGAGGGTAGTTGAAACAATGTATCACTCTTGTTTCACTGGCTGTCAATGAGCGGTCTATTCACAGTCTATGCAGAACTCCAGAATACAACAGTCTTAATGGTATCCCGTTCCCAGGTTCTGAGCGATGGAAATTTAGCTTCTTTCCCTCTCTTTTAGCAGGCAAATATTGTCCAAAAACTCCCCCCCCTTCTCCTGCTTCCAAAGGGGGGGTTGCTATTTTTAGTGCTGGTAATTTAGGCGTTTAAAGTAAACTTTCCAAGGCTTTAGCTTAAGCCTATTTGCTTCCGACTATTTACAAAGAAGGGAGGCGGACTTCTTGTTTTAAACCTCCCCCCGTTCGTTGCCAAATTCGACTTTTGAAACTCCAATACTTCGCTTTACTCACGGGTAACTACTTTTAGATCCAATTGTCAACAGGAAAAAGTCAGCGCTCTCCGGCAACAGCTGTGCGGCTTCACTCCGTGGAGGTAGCAGTCGATTCAAAGCACCGCGCCACTCACCCCACTTCGCTCCGGATCCCCGAAAACGGGTTTCCCCGTGAGTAGGGGAGGCGCTGATGGTGCCTGCCGAATCCCACGTTCACAGGCTTCACCCGCCTGTGATTTTTGAAGGGTCCCCGCCTTCGCCGCGGCGGCCAGACCCGATTTCCACGGAGCAGATTCCTCTGATTCAGAGGAAATCCGCCATTGCCGATGGCACAAACCCTGGTTTTAGGTTTGTAGTCCAAAGGCAATGGTAGACTATGCCAGAGAAACTGTATCCCCACAACACTTCTCTGACAATGTGAGTATGAGACCCTGTTCATGGATCTCTCTCTCTCTCTGTATATACATAGATAGATAGATAGATAGACAGATTAATAATGGGGCCACAACAGCAAAGTGGGAAGGTTAAACCCTTTCCTTCTGCACTGTTTCCTGGTTTAATTCACTCCTCCCCAAAGTCTCCTATTACTTCAATGGAATTAAACATGGGGGTACCATAATGATACTCAAAGTGAGTGGAGCAGGGATGGGGGATCCTGTTGTTCTCCAGATGTTGCTGAACTACAGCTCTCATCATCCCTTGCCTTTGGCTATGCTGACTGAGGCTGATGGAAGCTGAAGTCCAACAACATTTGGGGGTCGCTGGTTGGAGCAGAGCTTTTCCAGTGAAGAGGGAAGATGGAGGTGGACATGCTGAGGCTAAGCCACTTGAGAAGATATTTTATCACCAAAAGTCACCATTAATGAATCCCTACCATCCACCTGGATTTTGCTTTTTCTGGATTGTAACCTCCATTCCAGTTGTACTTCTGGAAAAGTGACCTTTGGTTATTCTCCTTTCCTACACAGCTCTCATGTCAGCTGTAGCTGGAGTTGTGGTTAACCAGTGCAAGACCACAAGCCTTATTTGCATAGCTAGTCTTCTGGGTAGTTTAAAACAAAACAAAACAGAAGTGATTTTGCCTGCAGGTCAACCTGCATAGGTTGTGGGAAATGCCCACTGGAGCTGCTGCTAGCAGTTTTTAGCAGATTTCATGGTTCTTCTCCACCTAGCTAAATGCTAGTGTCAAGGTTAGTACTAAATTTGTAAATAGTTATATACCCTTGCAAGCAATTCCTTGGTTAAGATGACATCCTGAAGTCACTTCACATACAGTGGTACCTCGGTTTTCGAACGTCTCCATTGACGAACGTTTCAGTTTTCGAACGCCGTAAACCCAGAAGTAAATGCTTCTGTTTTTGAAGAATTTTCAGAAGTCAAACATGCCACACGGCTTCCGTATTGAGTTTTCCGTATTGAGTTTTTGGTTTTTGAACGTTTTGGAACTCAAACAGTCTTTGGGAACAGATTGCATTCAAAAACTGAGATACCACTGTATATATTTTACTTGTTGCAAACTGCATTTTGGCTTCCTTCCAGTTTGACACAAAACCAGTTGCAGTTGAATGTGACAGGTTTTCTTTTTAAAATCCCACCGTCCCCACCCCCAGGCCCTCAAGGGAGCATACCTGGCTCTCCCCAAACTCTATTCCCACACAAACTATGAGAAAGATTAGTCAGACACATAGTGACTAGCTCAAAAGCAATCAGTAAGTTTCATGGGTCGTCCTGCTATGAAATCCGACAAAAGGTAGCCACTTCATCACACTGGCTCTCAGCCTGTGGTTAGATGGTGGACTTCAGTCCTATTTAGACCTTCTTCCACATATTCCCCAAACACATACAAAGGAGAACAGGGGCCACAACTCTTGGGCCTGCTGCCAACATCCACATGGGAACATAGGAAGTTTCCTTATGCATGTTCACACCATCTTGCTCACCTAATGCAGCACCCACATAACTCCCAGGGCAGAGTGTCTGCAGAGAGCACACACTACCTCTCTGGGACCTAGGAACTTAAGAAGCTGCCCTACACCATGTTAGGCTGTTAGTGGATCTAACTCAGTATTGCCTTTGCTGACTGGCAGCCCAACCTGGAGTGCCAGGGATTGAACCTGGAACTTTCCGCATAGAAAGCAATTTGCTCTACCACTGAGCTATGGGCCTTCCTATAATAGTTGGTAGAATGTCTATAAAGTGGAAGCTGTACCTGTGTTTGCTCCTCGTAACAAGCATGGCATTCTGAAGACAGTGGGGATGCGGTGGTGGGTGCACAATGCACAGGCTAAGGCCCCCCAGTGCAATCCACCACCCCACCCCTACACCTGTTGAGTAGGGCTGGGCAATATATTGATATATCATCCAAAACTGGTTTCAAGTCCATAACATGATATAGGCTTCATAATTTTTTACCTGGCAATATATTGAGACTCATGGTGTGTGTGTGCAAAAATCACAACGTGGAGAAAATCCCGTCAAGCCAGCCCATGCCTTTATATAGCTCTACCCTTATTTCAGAGATTGTAATATATCAGTACAGCATGATGTTTAGCTGGTAATTTATTGCAAGGTTGAAAACCAGATATCACCCAGCCCTACTGTTGAGCATGCATGCAGAAGCTAAAGAGCTGTAATGGGCACAAGGAGGAGGCTGAGGCCAAAATTTGACACTACCCCATCCCAGCTCTCATGCTGCCTTCGCAAAGCCAGCTAAATGAAGCACTGGGCTTTGGGATGGAGGCGTGAGGCTTTGGTAGGCCCTCCTACCTCCTTTCCCAAGCTGGGCAAGTGCTAACTAGGCTTCGGGAAGCAAGAGGGAGGACTCTAGGACCCTGTCAGAGACTCACACCTCCTTCTCAGAGCCCAGTTCCTCGCTTACCTGGCTTCGGGAAGGCGAGGAGATGGCTGGGGGGAGGAGGGGGGGTCAAAGGTTGTTGAGGGCCACTAAAAAAGGCCTTACTGTTAAGTAAGGGTGCATACAAGATAAACCGCTTTGAGAAGATATGTTGGGAGGGAGAATCTCACCATTGGTTTTGGCAGGCAGTTCAGAACCTGCCCTGTTTCCCCCCCTGCATATGAGAACAGATAATAAAGAAATATATTGGTACAAAGGTAACTTCCAGATGTTGGGCAACTTACACTTTCCTTTTGATGCAAATGGCTATTAAGTGAAGCAGTGCAATTTACAGAGTTTCCTTTTGATCTTAAAAAATAAAAATCCGAAACTTGCAAGAAACGAAAACTGATTGCTCCCAAAGGAAAGGCTTTCTTTTTCTTGCTTTTTATATGATGTGGACATTTTAAAAGAAACTATGAAAGGCTGGTTAACCCATTTATCAACCTAATTTATCCTATATAAATTATTCTGTAAGCTATTTACTTTAAGAACCTTTCCGTCCTGACCCTTCCTCTGTAATCAGTGCTCAGGTGTCTTAACAGCAATCTGCAAAATAGATTTAACCCCCCCCCCATCATTAAATAATGAACTAAGGTATATTGGTTATTCCAAAGAGAGTGTGCAGAAATGGAAAATATTGATGGGGTTCCCCCCAAAGAGTATAGGGTCTAAAATTGTAGGTGTGTTCAGCTTGTTCTATAGGTGGAGTCAAAAATAATGTTATGTAGGGTCAGCTAGAATGGGTGGGGATGCGGGTGACGCTGTGGTCTAAACCACTGAGCCTCTTGGGCTGCTAATCAGAAGGTTGGCGGTTTGAATCCCCATGACGGAGTGAGCTCCCATTGCTCTGTCCCAGCTCATGCCAACCTGGCAGTTTGAAAGCTTGCCAGTGCAAGTAGATAAATAGGTACCACTGCAGTGGGAAGGTAAAAAAGTATTTCTGTGCAAAGAACCCACTAGGTAGAGAAGGAACATTCTTTTCTGAAGCCCAACTGACCTGGACAAGAATCGACCAAATATGGATCTCTAGAGGCCTGGCACCTAGGGTTAGAAAAGTGGAAATCTGCCCAAAGACCTGTTCTGACCACAACGCAGTAAAGATGGACATGACACTACTACCAACTGGATCCTTTAGATGGAAGATGAATGACAATTTGTTTAGAGATCAGGAAATTACCAAGAAGGCCCAAAAAGTTTTGAAAGATTATTTTGAGATAAATATGAACAATTCGGTGGAAAAAAAGAATCGTCTGGGACGCAAGCAAAGCTGTTATGAGGGGATTCTTGATACAACAGAATGTAGTAAAGAAAAAAACACAAAATGAGAAAAAGACAAGATTTTGGATAAAATAAAAGAATTAGAGAAGAAATTAAGAGTGAATCCAAAGTCACAGCCAACTCTGAGAGAAATTAAACTGTATCAAACACAGTATTCTAAATTGATAAATCAGGAAATTGAATGGAAGATCAAATTAATGAAACAAAAAACGTTTGAGTCGGCGAATAAATGTGGAAAACTGCTATCCTGGCAGTTGAAGAGAAGACAAAGATTAAACACGGTTACAAATTTAGAGGTTGATGGAAGAAACATTCAGAATCCAGTGGACATTAGAAAGTGTTTCCAGAGATATTTTAAAAATTATATACCCAAGGGCCGCAAGACGAAGTTGAGATTAAACAATTTTTGGCAAAAATGGATTATCTAAACTGTCACAAGAAAATAGGACAATCCTGAACTCTAAAATAACACGACAGGAGATTGAACAAGCTATTCAGAACATGCAACTTGGCAAATCTCCAGGGCCAGACGGGCTGACCTCCAAGTATTACAAGATACTAAAAGACTATTTGATACAACCTTTGATGGAGGTTAGCAATGAAATTATGGAGGGAAGAGGGCACCGGATTCGTGGAAGGAAGCGTTTATCACATTGATACCAAAGTCAGAAACTGAAAAGACACAACTGAAGAACTACCGTCCCATCTCCCTTTTAAATGTGGATTACAAAATATTTGCAGATATTTTGGCAAGTAGATTTAAAAAGTTTTAAATGAAGTAATTCATAAGGACCAGGCCGGTTTTCTCCCAGGTAGACATTTGTTTGCTAACACAAGGAACATTATTGATATTTTGGAACTTCTCCAAACTGACATAAATACAAAAGCTGTTTTAATTTTTATAGATGCGGAGAAGGCCTTTGATAACATTTCTTGGAAATTTATGATGGGAAACTTAAAAGAGATGGGAGTGGGACGGGGTTTTGAGAATGGGATTGAGGCGATATATTCAGAACAGAAAGCAAAACTGATAGTTAATAATGTGGTTACAGAAGAGTTCAAAATTGAAAAAGGGACACGACAAGGTTGCCCTATTTCCCCTTTGTTATTTATTTCGGTCCTGGAAGTGCTATTGAACATGATTAGAGGGGACCAGCTGGTGGAAGGAATTCAGGTTGGTCAGAAACAATATAAATTAAAAGCTTTTGCAGATGACCTGGTTTTGACCTTGCAGAAGCCAGAGCCTAGTACGAAAAGAGTATTACAATTGATTAATGATTTTGGTCGGGTGGCGGGATTTAAATTAAACAAACAGAAAACTAAGGTTTTGGGGAAAAATCTGACTGAGACAGAGTCAGAACGGTTTCAGAATGAGACGGAACTTAATGTGGTTAAAAAAAGTAAAATACCTAGGGGTAAACATAACAGCAAAAAATCTAAGTCTATTTAAGGATAATTATGAAAAATGTTGGATAGAAATTAAGAGAGACTTAGACAGTTGGTCAAAATTGAAACTTTCTTTGTTAGGCCGAATTGCTGCGATTAAGATGAATGTATTGCCAAGAATGTTGTTTTTATTTCAAACACTGCAGGTATTGGACAAAATGGAGTGCTTTCAGAAGTGGCAGAGAGACATTTCGAAGTTTGTCTGGCAGGGCAAAAAGCCCAGAATTAAGTTTAAGATATTAACCGATGCTAAACAAAGAGGGGCTTTGCCCTGCCAGACTTAAAGTTGTACTATGAAGCCGCAGCGTTCTGCTGGCTAAAAGACTGGCTACTTCTTGAAGACACTGATGTGTTAGATTTGGAGGGGTTTAACAATGTTTTTGGATGGCATGCATATTTATGGTATGACAAAGTTAAAGCAAATAAGGCCTTTAAGAACCATATTGTTAGAAAATCACTGTTTAATGTCTGGACAAAATATAAAGACTTGCTGGAAAATAAAACACCAAGGTGGCTTTCACCTTTGGAAGCTAAGGCCCTAAAAGACCCAATATGGAGGCCAAATGGCCAAAATATTGGGAAATACTAGAAAAGATGGAGACAATTGGAAATTGCAGAGCTTGGAGAAAATGAAAGACAAAGTGCGAGATTGGTTACACTATGCTCAGATTAAAGAAGTTTTTAAAAGTGATAAGAAACTAGGGTTCCAGGTGGAGAAATCGAAATTAGAAACAGAATTGTTAGAACCAAAGACTAAGATACTTTCAAGGATGTATAACTTGCTGTTGGAATGGAATACACAGGATGAAATGGTTAAATCGGCCATGATAAGGTGGGCACAGGATATTGGGTATAATATTATGTTTGAGGACTGGGAAAGGCTGTGGAGTAATGGATTGAAATTTACTGCATGTAATGCTTTGAAAGAAAATGTAATGAAAATGATTTATAGATGGTATATGACCCCAGTCAAACTTGCAAAAATTTACCACCTGTCTGACAACAAGTGCTGGAAATGCAAAGAGTGTGAAGGAACGTTCTTTCACCTCTGGTGGACATGCCCTAAAGTGAAGGCGTTCTGGGAAATGATTTATAATGAATTGAAAAAGGTATTTAAATATACTTTCACTAAGAAACCAGAGGCTTTCCTTTTGGGTATTGTCAGCCAAGGGGTGGCAAAGAAGGACCAGACATTTTTATGTATGCAACAACAGCAGCAAGGATACTACTCGCAAAACATTGGAAAACCCAAGATCTACCCACACTGGAAGAATGGCAGATGCAACTGATAGACTATATGCAACTGGCTGAAATGACCGGCAGAATCCGTGACCTGGGAGAAGAGAGAATCGAGGAGGATTGGAAGAAATTTAAGAACTACCTACAAAAACATTGTGATTTGATTGAATGCTGAATAAGATGCTGGACTAAATAACTGAGCACCACTTAACTTAGAAATTTTTAAGGAAACAAGAAAAATTGTGAAAGTTTAACTCTTTATGAGAACTTTAAGATTATGAAATATCGAAGAGATATAAGAATTT